CTGGAACACTTAATTCCACACTGAGCAAAGAGTATACCTGGTACAGATGTGGTGCAGTTTCCTATGTATAATCCTCTACTTTGAGGATCTACTCTTTTAGGGTGTTCTTTGGATGCTTTCAAAGAATGCTCCTTTGTTTTCCCCTTGCACTGGTCCCTCTACCTGGGATTATAGCTACTTATGTGAGAAGAGGTAAGGTACCGTATCGAAAATTATAACTTTCCTATACTGAAAACATATTTCTGATGGGTACTTACACCCTCTCACACTTCCAACTGTAAATCGGTGCTTCCATTTTCTGCTAAAACTCAAAGTGATAGTTTGGTAGAATCGAATACAGGGAGTCACATGTGTCAGGAGAGTGTGTTGCTCTCTTATTAGTGGAGGTTCGTTGAATGATGATTACATTCAAGATGCAGTTGAACCAGTTGATTATAAGGTATGTGGGAGCTCAAGGCTTGTGGCATGCAACGAGAATAGCTATTTATATGAGAAGAGGTAATGTACCATATTGGAATCCAGTATCGATCAATTAGATACTTATCAATTCCACCTTTAAATATACTGCATCTACCACATCTGAAGGCAACTCACTCCAAAGGCTAACCACCCTGTTAGAAAAGTAAAACTGTCTAAGCTGAAGGTGACTCCTGCCAAAATTTATTTTAGTATTCCCTTGTCTTACCATTCTCGGCATGAATAAAAGATGATGCAACTGAATACTTTCAATTCCCTCAATAATCTTGAACACATCAATCAGATCCCCTCTAACACTTCTTTTTTCCCCAAAAAAATTTCTTAATTTGTCATTGTATGATAACTTTTTCACCCCAAGTATCATCATACTAACTTTCTTTTGAATCCTTTCCAAAATTCATAGTCCTTCTGAAGGTAATGAACCCAAGACTGAGAGTACATTATACTCCAAATACATTATCTGTAAACACAACCAAATATCCTACTTACCCTTCTATTAACAACAGCACATTGTTTGGATAGCTTAAGAGATTGATTAACCAAAATACCAAGTTTATTTTATTCCATAATGCTATTAATATTATACTTAAGGTTTACACTATTATAACCCACTAGAATTAAAAGTCATCTGCCAGTTAGAAGACACTACAACAGGTATCAAAATGTTAAACAGAATTATGAAAACAATAATACTATACTATCCGAATACATTTTCTAGTTTCATTCTTATTATAATTATCAAAAGTTTTATTTTAAAACTGACTGATGTTATTAAAATGTTTATGCTGTTTGGCTGTGTAAGCAGTAAATTTAAGTGAGTTTAAGAGAAAGCTTGATAAGTATATGAATGATAAGGGCTGGCTTTAAGATTTATTTATTAATAGTTTTAGTTTAGTTTAGAGGATAAGGCAGGAGAGATGGATCAATAGGTCCCAAAACATGTTATGTTAAATTTAGTCTACTTGTAGAATATCCAAAATACTAAGTTTTCATTTTGGCTAGGTATGTGTTTGCCTGATAAAAAAATTGAGTTATGATTATTTGTTTCTCTTGGTTGATTACAAAACATTTGATTAACTGTACAGTTATAGATACAAAATCTAAGGCTCAAACACTGTCATTAACACACTTATGAAAATGTAAAACAGTACTGAATTGTCTAGAATAACACATCTGGAAAGGTGTACATAATATAGATGAAACAGGTGAGTGAGAAATAAATACGCCATTGTCTCGAAGCATTCAGCAAAGCACAAGCTTAACGTATAACTTTACAAATATCCAGTATCCCATATACCATTGCACTTGTACATGGTGTTTGACATTAGACAGTGCATTACTGTTTGCAGGTTTGAAAGTCAAGATATAGAGATAAATAGGAACCATAAAAAATGAGAAACAAATGAATAATAGAAGGACAGTTGAACTTTCAAGATCTTTTATAAACCTCCTTAGTTGTAAAAAACACAATCTAGCATTTTTCTATTCCCAAAACCATCCACAAAAGATCTGAAAGTACCTAAGTTAACATTACATGCTACTGTTGCCACAATTCACTCCACACAACTGAATACCAAAAGGGTGAAAAAAGTTTTTCTGACAGTGTCCCTACAATTTCTAACTTTCAAGTCATCATTCCTAGCCTCTTTTTTTCCCATATATAAAAGGTCTGCCTATACAAGGAGAAAAATTTCAAGTGTTTAAATACTGTTTGAGACCAAGATTAATTGCAGTACATGTAGCATCCTCAAAATAATGGGCACAGTGGCCTTTTGTCATATAGATCTTTCAATATTTTTATGCAATGGTAAATAATTAACAGCTATATAAGAATTTTAAATACTGAAATTTTTATATGAAAATTATTCCTCCTGCACTTAACAGAGCTCATCCTAAAATTCCCAAACTAAACCTTCTCTACAAGCAAAATGGTCTCTGGCTCATACCACAGTTTCATGTAGCACTTCTATATCGGTGGTCTCTGGCTCATACCACAGTTTCACGTAGCACTTCTATATTGATGGTTTCTGGCTCATACCACAGTCTCATGTAGCACTTCTATATTGATGGTCTCTGGCTCATACCACAGTTTCATGTAGCACTTCTATATCGATGGTCTCTGGCTCATACCACAGTCTCATGTAGCACTTCTATATCGATGGTCTCTGGCTCATGCCACAGTTTCATGTAGCACTTCTATATCGATGGTCTCTGGCTCATGCCACAGTTTCATGTAGCACTTCTATATTGATGGTCTCTGGCTCATACTACAGTTTCATCTAGCACTTCTATATCGATGGTCTCTGGCTCATACCACATTTTCATGTAGCACTTCTATATCGATAGTCTCTGGGATATAGAAGTGCTACATGAAACTGTGGTATGAGTATAGAAGTGCTACATGAAACTGTGGTATGAGCCAGAGACCATCTTGATGGTCTCTGGCTCAAACCACAGTTTCATGTAGTACTTCTATATTGATGGTCTCTGGCTCATACCAGTTTCATGTAGCACTTTTATATTGATGGTCTCTGGCTCATACCACAGTTTCATGTAGCACTTCTATATTGATGGTCTCTGGCTCAAACCACAGTTTCATGTAGTACTTCTATATTGATGGTCTCTGGCTCATACCAGTTTCATGTAGCACTTCTGTATTGATGGGGCTTGGGTTTGTTTATTCAATCAAAAAAAAAACTCCTATGCTACAGAAATGCATAAAAATTATGTATGTGTGTAAGGATATGGAAGTTCAGCTCTCCTATAAACACTGAATAATGCCCATGTAAGATTAGAAACTTTTCTATCAATTCCTTCAAGACTGAATCTTAAGTCAGAAGTACTATGCAAGATATGATATGTTTTTCAATATATTTAGTAATAATAAAGGCCAAAAAATGTACAACATTTAAAAAAAATGGTTGTACACTTCTTAAGAGTTGTTAGTTTTTGGAGGTTATGATGAAATGAGGTGATGAAAAAAATAGAGGAAAGTGAAGGAAAATTAGAATTCTGAAATAAAATCTCAACTTATTAGTCAAGTAAACAGCAAACAGTGTTAAGAATAAAATTTGTACATGTAATTCAAAACATTTCCTATAAAGTTCAATACTTCACTCTTTGTTAACATGATAACAAATCATAGTTTATCAAAGTGATCTGGAAATTCAACAACTAAAGTACATCATGTATATTCAAAACATTTAAAGCAGTTCCCAACTATTCACACAAAATATTAATGTGCATATAAGACAGACAAAAGACTAATGACACAAAAATATATTTTTAGGAATTCAGTTCCAACCAATCAAATATTCTATAGTTACTTGTGTTTATGATGTTTTTAGTGATCCAAGTTTTACACAAACTTATTAATTTATAAGTAATGCTTGATTAAAAGGCCTGCAAAATAAAAACAACAAATTACTTAAATATCAAAGTATCTCTATCGTGTAACTTAATATCAAAATACTGTAGCATTTTTAATAGGAATATAATGTAACATTTACATTTTGATTGATCAGCCTTCAATGGTTAAAAAAAAAAAAGAAAAAAAAAAGAAGTTCAATAATAATTCTTTGTTTTGAATAAATATCCATTCCCCATCAAAATATGATAAAGTTCACTGTTCAAACAAAACAATTACTGCTGAATTAATGTCTCCTGTAAAACAAGTAAAAAGATTTCAGGTACATAAATAACAACAAATAAATTGATACACTTGTATTATGGCCACTACAGACTGTATTTGTACTTGTAGGCACATCCATGTCTAGCATTATGTTGCAACTTATACTAGAGATTATCACAAACTTTATGTAATACCAAAGGCCAGTTTCAGTGTATAAATGCAAATATTCATTTCAGTGTTGCTTATTTTATCCTAGACCCATCAAATTAACTTTCACATGTAATGCTTAGTTGAACAGCTTATGATTTACAGCCATTAGTCTATTTCAATGGACTTCCTATGCATGTAGGTCTATACAAAGAGATCAATTTCAAGTTTAAATATTGTTTGAGACCATATTAATTATAGTACATGTAGCATCCTTGATGCAGGTGTGAAGTACAATGGATGTGATTATTGTACAAGATATACATAAATGTTCTTATAACTAAGGTAAATATACAAATATCTCATGGACATTAAAGTATCACTCAAATTATTTAACAAAAAACTCCAATACTGTAGAAACTGGCAAAAATCGTGCGTGATAAACTATTCATAGTGATTATATTGACATAAAAATATCAAGACTTATTCTAACTAAAAATAAAACGAAAAAGTACGGTTACTATAAATAGGTCATAACCTATTGTTTAAATGGAGTAATGCTAAACAACATAGTCCAATAACTTATGCACATCACATGTAATAGTAAAAAAAATATATAGGTTGAAACCGAATCAAAGGTCACTGTCAATGACGTTCCTTTCCAAATTAGGTATCAAAACAATTTATCAAAAATGTTGTCACACTAATAAACAATAATCATACAATAAACAGATTGTATTCCTACCATAGTTTACAGCAATTTCGACCAATCAATAATCTGATGCACTCAACTTGACAACGTTTGAAATTGTATTATAATTTATTATTAGTATTACGATTACTCTCAAAACTCGAATGAGAGCAAGACATATTCCGTTGACGTAACTTATTTCAGGCTTAGCCTACTTTGCTCTTCTAGAAGTAGAACCACGTACATACATATATGTATATGTTATTTAGCTCTTGATATTAATATTTAAATATACTACGATTCTCAATCAGTTATAATAAAACTTATAAATCTGATGTTGGAACTTGGTAAGTAACTTGGTACACGTAAGCCTATTTTAGAATTATTCACAGACACTAATGCTTTTCGTAAACTTTGAGGGCGCGTTTCTTATTGTTTTTAGAGTCTGTTCTTCTCCTGTTTTTCTTTCTTTTTTTTTTTCCAATTGGATCTGAATTTTCAGCTCAATTCTGGTTTGTTATAAATTGAAGTATCACATTTTCTTGCCTCTTGAATGATAAAAAAGTGACAAAGTTCTTACTTTTTTGGTAATTGAAATTTAAGTTCTCAATTGAAATTTCAAATACTAATGGAAGCTCTTTTTGTGTTTATTTTCTGTATGATCATGAATTAATTGCTATACTAAAATTTCATTCATCATTCTGTGAAAAAATAACATTTTAGTACAATGATTGACTTGAAATTTTTCTAATAACATTTTGTTATATAATTACAATGGTGTAATCTACTATATACAAAGAAAATTCGCAATAAACTTTAACATATAGAAGTCATATAGAAGAAATGTTTAATTGCTGTTTATAAGTTTCATATTTTTACTTGGTTATGTAAAGGATATTAATCATATGATATATATACATATAAAGTGTGAAAAGTCAAATTTATAAACAAATTCGGATTTAAATCCACACGACGGTACTATGAAACAATATATATATTGTATACGCAAGTTATGTGCAATTGAGTTGGAGGTAAAATAAATCAATTTCCTGTTTTGAATATCATGTATAAAATTTTTTATTGGTAGTGTGGTATGCAGGCATGTCCCTTGTTTTCTGCTATTATTTAATATAGAAATGTTCTAAAAATTCCATTTATCCATGTATAGAGGTCTCACACAGTGACATAATAAAACTTCCTGTTTCATTCAATGCCGTCATATTGGTCGTCAAACTTTCCCTTCTAGCATTCAACGGGAAATTTATGTCAGTACAAGATTTGACAAGTTTTACAAGCTGTCAATGGCGTAAACATTACTTTTGGCAAAAGATACGAATTCAAACCTCCATGGTTATTCAGTTCCTTGAAATATCTTTCTTTATGTAGATCGCTAAGATGATTTATAGTATCACATAATATGATATTAGAAGACAGACTTTCATGTAAAACAAATAAAAGCACTTGATGTCCAATATGGCAGAGTAAACTATAAACCACAAGGTTTTCACATTGTATGTTGATCAAGAAAGTTAAGTTCCTTTTGATCTAAATAACTGTTGTGCTGTGTAATTTACCAAAGGATTTGTTGTTTTGATAGACGAGTTCTTTTAAATTATTTGGTGAAAATAATTCGAAGTTCACGCCATGTAACGATAACAAATTAGTTTATTTCTACAAGGTTGTACACTGTGTGTGTGTTGTAACTGGTAGGCCTAATGGTAATGCAACTAATATAATAATAAACTTACTTGTACAATTTCACGACTAATCAATAGAGTATCTGTATATATACGATAACTAAAACTAAACTATTTTAGACTCAATGACTGGCACTACCAACTGAAACTAAATATCAATGATTCACAGCTCACTCATTAATTGACTGGCCCACTAGTATTTATATCTGTTAGTCTCTGGTCGTTTGTTAATTTCCGCTATAAATTCTCCCCGAGGAACTTCAGCGATACAAGTCCTTTCTTGAAATAAAACTAGTTTATTATTTCTCAGTACAACTTTGCAATACATAGAATTTCCACAGTCACTTTAACTTGAACACACGTTATAATTCACAACGATTCACGCATTTTACTTACGGTCACTACCGCTCACTTGACTCAATTATCTGTCTCTCTATATCTCTCTATCTACAGTTATCTCTCCGCCTTATTTACCGGGCTTATATACTAAAATAGATGGCGCCTGGAAAAGACTAGAGTTACCAGGAAAAGTCAAGATCCTTCGAGAATCTCATGACGAGTTACTAGATTCACGTGACTTCCGCTGTCGTAAAACTGCCCCTACCTTAGTATTGCTTGTCCCGAACAATAACCGCTTACATTAAACCAATAGATAATTATCAATAAGTTGATTAAAGGTACAGAATTTACAAACACAAATTTAAAATTCAACAAAGTCTCTTAATTTTACGGGACGTATCTTCTTCCATACTGGTCTCCGTCATGTTGGCTTCTGCTTCACGTGGGGTTCATCTGCTCAATCGGGAAATGTCCTATTATCGGTAACAGTCACATTAGTGGTAGTAACTTCATTAAGAGCTTCATTGTTTCCCTTCTGAAAACCGGGTAGAGGTTCTTCTTCGACAGTGGCTTTTTCAGGTGACACGTCTTCCATTGTCCACTTTGTTCCAACTGAAATACCTGGACCATGATAACTTCAAAGCCTGTTGGCATGCACCACCTTTGGTTTACCTCTCCGACCACATTTTATTCAGAAAGTCACATCTGAGAGACGATCCACTATGTCATATGGGCCTTCCCATGAAGAAGACAACTTAGGAGACTTCCCTTTTGTCTTCCTGGGATTATACAACCACACCTTGTCTTCTGGTACAAAGCTGACTTCAGTACATTTCTTATCATAACATAGCTTCATGGAATCAGCAGACGTTTTCAAGTTTGAACGCACTTGATGATGAATATCATCCATTTTTTGAGATAACATTTTCACGAACTCTGGCACATTTTCAGGCAACTCTTCTTTAATCAGGTTCACTGGCAACCGAAGTTCCCGACCAAACATCAGCTTTGCTGAAGTGTATCCAGTGGCTTCGTGCTCTGCTGTTCTATAGACCATCAACAGCGGAGGGAGTAAGACATCACAGTCATCTTGGCGGCTATTTCAAAACTTTGCAAATTCCTGTCCCAGTGTCCAATTGTACTTTTCTACCATCCCACCATACTTTGGGTGAAGTGGCGTTGTTCTGGTCTTTCGTATGCCAAACAAGTTGCAGCATTCATGGA